CAGGGCACTGGAACTTGTCATCGGCGTCGTTTGTGCTTGTTTACCATCATCCAACCTCCTCTACGAACGGATACGAAAGGTAGAGGGAAAGCAGATGGGTAACCTGCCGCGGACTGCGGGTGATTTGAAGAAAGGAAGCAGTTCAAGCTCATCTTACTGGCGCAGTATGTTGCCTAACAAGCAACTGCGGCCTACGCGCACGGCCATTGCTGTAACAGAATGTACTGCGACAAGACCAACGGGTCCCGCTAATTTCGATACCGAACTCGCGGTCCTCACTGGCCAGCCGATGGGAATGAGGCCATTGACGGAAGGGGCAGCCAAGAAGTCGGAGCAGACTGCCGAAGACTGGACGTACAACCCAAGAGCAAATTCAATGGATGGGAGGAGAGAAGGATGGTTGGCACAGGGTGGCGAAAGCTCAGCACTAGGTGGGTGTTTAGGTGACAGGGTACCCAACTGGCAAAATCACGACATGGAGGCCAGAAAGTCTTGGGAAGCTGTGTGGGAGAAAGCCATACCTCTGGAGGGGCTATCCTCGATACCTGAAGATGACGGTCCTCCCCGGCTGCAGCTAGCGACACATCCCCCACCGGACTGGGAGCACCTAACAAAGTAGACGCGCAGAAGAAACTTCATGGATTGTTGCGAGAGATACCCATTCTTAACAAGGAAGGACATAGCGCATCACTGTCGACTTGATGGGGTGCATAGGAGAGCCACAGATGTGTGACGAAAATCGGAGGGCGATCGTGTGATGAGTAGAGTGTATCAATTCTAGAGGCAGTGCCCACATTCCACGATGAACAATATAAGGAGACTCATTACTACACAAATGACGCAGACAAGCAACTAGTCGAGAACTAAAGCTGCAGGGACATTGAAATGAGGCTCATCAAGGACGGCCTTGATCGAGTACTCTACGTTTGCGACGCGGCAAAAAAATACCATCTCTGAGTTCATGATAATGCAACGACCACCAGAACTCCAAGCTTGATGAGGCTGCACGGTCAAAAGTTCAAGTTTTGTTATCTGTTGTAGGCATAGTTAAGGTGTCGAGTCAATATGAACTTTCTCAAACGCTGATGCAGCTTCTTGTTCAGAGTTGAAGAGGGAGAGCCCTGGTAACACTTACTTTCAATGGAAACAAGCATCGGCTTTCATAGAAAAACATTCCTTTCCAGGACATCGCCAAAGCCTTGACTTTTCTATGTCGTTGCAAATTCAATTTGAAGTCGTCTTAAAGTTGAGCAAGTTTTCTGTTTCGGAACTCGATCATCCCTATAAGCTCCGGATGGCCGCACCTTATCTAGCGGGGACTGTACTGAAGTGGGGCCAATCCTTGGGCCGATGGGATAATAAGCCAAGTGAGTTGCTACGAGAGTAAAGACTCAGATCGTACCAAGTGCTCGAATAAGAAAGAAAAGGAGTTGGCCTAAGAAATCGAATGATTGAAGTTTCAATACTCAATTTTCGATAAATGAAAGACTTCTGGCCACTTAGAAGCCATTTGATGCCTTTCACAAATGTGTAGCGCAGGTTAAATATTTTCAGGTGACAAAATGTTCTGATGGGCAAAATTACTAGTGAGGCAATGATATTAGTTCATGTCAGATAGGAAACTCCCCATGGGGGTAAAAGATGATAACCGAGGCTCCTTCACGTTTCCCAACTGAGTGTTGAAAGCTGAGATGTATCCGTACATAGCCAGGTTATTACATGGACTGACTGCACGTGGGCAGCTGCCACTTGAATTCGGAAAGAGACAAACACTTGGGCCATCAAGGTAGAAGCATTTAGAAAATGATTGGTGCGGAATTAAACGATCCATGGACAGATATAGTAAAGAGCTTGCTGATCTGGGGACATTTGCGGGAGCTAGATGGACGATTCGACAACGGTCCATATCTCGCACAAACGTAATCTCTTGACGCCATCTATCAAATGGTACATAATTAATCTTATCGAGAAGGTGAATAGACACAAAAAGACCAGAATGACGCCGTGACTTGGCGCTGCATGGTGGTGATGCCGGTACAATCTGCGGGAGTGTTACAACGGCGCGCTTGGCAAGACTGCGGGAGGCGCCAGATACTATGCGCCAAGAGGCTTACAACGCCTCCTTTAAGGATGTTTGCCCGTATGGCAGTGCCTGTTGCCAAGTCCGGGCGGGTATGTAAGTAAATTTGCGGCGAAGGATGGTGGACTGCCGGGCCGGGGCCTCGGAGCCGCTGATTCGTGCGTCCAAGTACCGTGCGGGCCTTGTCCGAGAGACACCTGCTTCTTTGGGCAGTAGTGCTCCGCATCGCGACATTGAAGCTCGTTGCTCCCACCTTCCAACCGCTGTTTCTTGACCTTCTGTTTTTAGCAGGACGAAGAACAATAATCATGTTTTTGACTCGTAAAACGGTGGAGAGATACCGCGAAGCCCGACGAAAGAATTGAGGGGAAGGAGAACGCCAAGTTGTGATGGGAAGAAGATAAAAGAATCATGTTGTCGCCCGTTCGATCAGCATAAGATCTTGCTCTGCACCTCTCCGCTCTTTAGGTTGTGAAGTGATCATCGTGGTTCAACTGTCAATTACCCCTGCCTTAGACAACTCCCAGGACCCCTCCTGAACCACTCAAGATGAAGGCAATTACCTTGGCAACCTTGGCCGTTTCGGCGCTCCTCTCTGGAGCTTCGGCCAAGGAGATCGCACCCAGTGAACTCGTCTCTGAGATTTACGACAGCGGTGTCATTCACAAGGACCTCATGGCCCGTAAGAAGGTATTCGATACCAGCAGCTTTGCTTACGGCACTTGATCTAACCTTCGCAACTCATAGGCATCATGGGATCGCCAAAGAGAGGCCGGAGAGATGGAGTCGACCAAGTACACGAGCCGCCTCGCTGAAGAGGGCCCCGTTTCTTGCGTCAACGGTGTTGCCGAGGTCATCCCTGGCGATGCCAACAACACTTTCAAGTGCAACAAGGTCGACTTCTACGACTTCAAGAGCCACTCCGACCTTGGCTCTACCGCCGGCGAGGGATCTTCTTCCTGGGGTTGGACCAGCCCCGACGGTCGCGAGTTTGCCATTATTGCTCAGGCTGATGGTGCCGCCTTTGCTGAGATTACCTCTGCGGGCAAGCTCGTCTACCTCGGACGCCTCCCGCAGTACTCTACCCAGTCCATCTGGCGTGAACTCCGCGGATACAAGAACTACGTCGTCATCGGCAGTGAGGCCTCCCGCCATGGTGTTCAGATCTTCGATCTGACCAAGGTAAGCTCATCAACATCATCTTGCCTCAAGACTCTACCGATACTAACTGTTAGCGATAGCTGTTGGACATTGACCCCGCCAGCCCGGTCACCTTCAGCAACTCCCGTGACCTTACCGGTTACTGGAACGGCCTTCCCGCCGGTTCCACCCACAACATCGTCATCAACGAGGAGAAGCAGTACGCCGTTGCCGTCGGCGCCCAGCCTCGTTCCAGCGCCTGCCGCTCCGGTCTGATCTTCATCGACCTCAGCGACCCGGCCAACCCTACCTCCCCGGGTTGTGCCGCCGGTGACGGTTACGTCCACGATGCTCAGTGCCTCGTCTACCGTGGCCCCGATGAGAAGTATTTCGGCCGCGATATTTGCTACGGTTACAACGAGGACACTTTGACCATCTACGATGTCACCAACAAGAACGAGACCAACATCATTTCTCGTACCTCTTACGAGGGTGCTAGCTGTACGTCAACGTGCTTTACCCCTATGTGAACTTATGATCAGTGACTGATTATATACACAGACACCCACCAGGGTTGGGTCACCAACACCGAGTGGCAGGAGTACCTCGTCCTCGACGACGAGTACGACGAGGTTGATGCCACCGGCCCTGCTGCCAGCGGTTACCCCATCACCTACTTCTGGGATATCAGATCTCTCGAGGCTCCCAAGCAGACTGGATACTACCGCAGCGAGGCCTACGGCATTGACCACAACCAGTTCGTCATTGACGGCCTTGCCTTCCAGAGCCACTACGGTGCCGGCCTCCGCATTCTCGACGTCTCTTCTCTGCCCGATGACCCCACCGGAGGCGGCGTTTCCGAGGTTGGATTCTTCGACATTTACCCCGAGAACGACAACGAGCCCCTTGGAGGATCCATTGACTTCGTCGGCACCTGGTCTCACTACCCTTACTTCAAGAGTGGCCACATTCTGATCAACACCATTGAGCGTGGTGCCTTCGTTGTGAAGCGCTCTGCTTAAAGGATTTGAGCACACAACTTGCCTGCATGTGTCTATTGTGGAATGTCAGGAGGTCATGTACATAGCAGTCCGCTGATTGGTGACCTATTAGCAGGGCGACTCAGCTTAATGATAATGATGGGATAGCCTCAAGACAACAACATGTTTCTCTGAGTTCGATCAAGTGGAACCGCAATTCCTGACACTCTCGTTTCTTAACTTATAGGGAAGTAAGAACATCGACGTATCCAGTCATTCATCGTAAACACCGAGCAGCATCGTATCGCTTGGAAATCTAGGGATATCGCATCTTGAAGTGGAGCATGCTTTTATTTTCACCAACGGGAATTGCCCATTTAAAAGATTTTCATCAATGCCCCTCCTGCTTGCATCTCATAAACAGATCTGGCTCTTAGAACATGTAGTATCGTTAAGGCTTTGGCGCAATAAAGCTTATAATTTCCCCGAAACCTTGTTTTCGCAAGCCAAGAGCGGCTGTCACCTGACCCTGTGATGCTTTGATACTTTGACCAAAAAGGACCTTCTCATTCTTGAATCGACTCAATTGCCCATAACAGCATGTTCAATCAACTTTCATACAGTATTGATCATCGTAGAGAGGGGCTTATGATTGAGTATCACTAACCTCAGTCTCTCTTTGGCCAGCCAAAAGGTCCGAGTGCCGCTATTGTGTCTTAGTCCGATGTGACCGTAGCAACACCGCCTTTTAAAGTTGCGACTACGAAACGCCACGAGTCATCAGTCAGCGCCAGATCAACGTCTGCGCGACCAGAGCGTTCCCCAACAACACCCCTTTGGGTCTAGTTGGCAGTACGGACAAGCGTTTTCTCGGCCCCGACACGCTCGTCACTTCAATGTCGGCATTTAGAAGTCTAATCTAAGAATGCTGAACTTCATATCCCCCAAACCTACTGTAGGGAAAGGTGCCTGCATGTGGCTAAATGAGACAACAGCTTGAAAACCCGCCAACTTCATATGCCCAAAGCCTGCCGACGACGTTCACGTATCGCCCATGGGCAGACGCCCAACAGAAGCCCTCATCTTGATAGATGATCACTGCTCGACGAATGCGTCGGCGGACGCGCGTTCACAAGCATGGCCACCGGTCAACTGGACAGCATTCTGAGACGCGATGACAAGTTCCTAAAGGAGATGTGGACTTGGTTCGGTGTAGGAGCTCTCGTCATACTGTTGCGGTTTTTCGTAAGAATCCGCATGGTCGGCCCTAGAGGTCTCAAGGGAGATGACTACACAATGCTTGTTGTAAGGCGAAAATGAGCATACCCTAGTCATAAGTTGACACTGCTCTAACATTTCATCTGGATAGACTTTGTTCTTATACACAGTCTGTTTTGTGATGGTCGACCTAGTGTGTGAGTATCATTGCCGATTATGACTAGTGAAGAGATGAAGATTATTCAGCGGGACTGATGTAGTCGAACATAGATCGATACGGCACGAACGTGGATCTCACAGCCGCTCAAATCAACACTCTATCCGATGACGAAGTTGCACGACTTGTTCAAGGTTCTAAATTTCAGCAAATAGCTTGGTATTCATACACCGCATATCTATGGTCTATGAAAGCAACCTTGTTATTTTTCTAGTATTTTGGCCTCCTGATTCTTTCGAGAGAGAGACACTGACAGTTCTGAAGTAAGCGAATGACTTTTGATTTGTGGCAGAGTGCGAGAGTGCTGAAACACTTGGCCTGGTTCACAATTTTGTCATACCTTGTTGTGCTCGGAACAATAACGTTTAGTTGCATACCGTGAGTGCTGGACTTTCAGGTTTCACTCGAATGTTTGCTAATGGCATCCTACAGATTTTCAGATAATTGGGGAGTGAGGCCCCTGCCAAGTGAAAAGTGTGTTTTCAAGGCCCAAAATCTGTTGGTATCGACATTTCTCAGTGAGTCCAACAGAAAGCCTCGTTGAGCACCCTAAGCTGACCAGAGACAAGATGTTGTGACCGATGCAGCCATTCTTTGTCTGCCCCTGCCTGTTCTAAAAGAAATCAGGGTACCCTTCTACAAGAAAGTCTTCATAGCAGTACTGATATGTTCCGGCTTATTCGTCATCGCGGCCGCGATCATGCGAGTTGCGGTAACTTTAGGGTCAGAGCCTTCAACAATTACAGTGAACCGATGGGGAGTCCGAGAATGCGAAGTCGGTCTAATTGCTGTCAACGCACCCATTTTACGTCCTTTATTCTCCCGCAGGTTTTGGCAGTGGCATTACCGACCGCCAGCTCGCCCGTCAAATCCTATGGAAAGTGCAAGAAGGAGCCGAACAACAGTTGGCGGCCACAGACGGAGAGTCATCAAAGAAGACTCGCTTCTTGGGTGGGTGAGTTCTACTACCTCAAGAATAGGAACCATTGTGGGAGGGGCTCGAGATCATGGGAACACAGTGGACGTGGAATTAGGGGATGCGGCCAGTGAACAGGAGCTGGAGCCTCTTGACAAGGGGGAGGATAATGAAGGACAGAGTTCTCATATCCCTGCCGATGACGAGACAGCGAGAACCGATTGAGTCAGCATTCAAATACTCATCGGCTGCAATTGGAGAGGATCACATGAAGAGAACAGCGGCGCATTTACAAATTGTTTGGTGTCAAAGACAAGCGAATCTGAGAAGAATACCCAGCCATGTAGTAGCACAATAGAGTTGGTGGCTTACACTTGTGTGACTTAAGTCCGTCGGATTAATGCCAACTCCACCAGAGATCAACAGGATCAGAAAGCAGAAGAAAAAGCCGAAACGCCGCCTTGCCAAACCAAGCTCCCGGCCTCCAACCTAGCACAAATTCATAGCAATTTCGCAGAACGCGGCCAGAAAAACCCAAACAGCCAGTTACCAAAGCCCATCTAAGTCTCATTTGCCCATCACTTCAGCAACATTATACTCCATGTCTCCATGCCTCAGCTCCATTATCAACTCTTCGGGTTGTCCACTATGTCCATCAACCTTGTTCTCGGGGCATCTAATCAATCAGTCTAGCTAGTCTACTTGATACTCGGTCGTTCTTGGGTCTCATAACGGTAAGAAAGCATCTGCAATCATTCAGAGACTCTAATCTTACAATGGTGGCATCGTTGGTGTTCACGTTACAGTGCTCTCTCTTGTCTCGGCCAGCCTCTCGACGCCAAATTCGCAAGCATGGACAGCTAGTATCAGCCAGCAGAATTTCACGAAAAGTACTTGGGGCTCTCAGGAAGCTCTTCAGTGGTGGGTAATATGGGAGTCGAGCGACTACGCTCGTCGCCCTCTCGAGATGCATTCTCTGGTTCAATTTCCGTGGAGGGGTGGTGCAAAGGCCACAGAAGGATTCTGCTAGGATAGACTGAACCTAGGAGCCGAAGTTGTTCATCTAGGTCAGTCGCTCGGGTCTCACTCACAGCAGTCATGACTTCGTGAAGGAAGTCATCTCCATAATACGCGAAGTCGCTCTCAGGCTGCACAATCGGGTAAACCAGAGCATCGATGCTGGCATTGATGCGAGCATCGACATCTTGAGCACATAGCGGACAAGGGGTATCAACTTCGTCATTGCTACTGGCATCAGCGTCTCGATGACGACGGGGACGAGGAGCATCAGCCTCGCTATTGCTGGTTGCATCTTTGGCACCGCTGACAGTGTTTGAGTCTCCCAGCCAGTCGAGCACAACGCCTCGGTTCAACGAGGGGCTTTGCGGCTGGGGGAGCACCCTGTGTGGTGGCACAGAAAGCGGCACGCCTTCGATGGGGCCGAGCAAGAAGTCTATGGAATCTTCTTCATCCCATTGAGAAACACCAGCAGCACCAGCGGGAGCCTCAATCACCGTAGCGATATCATCAGTGTCGAGGTCGGTCCCGTGTGAAGGGTCGTGCTCAAGGTAAGCGATCGAATTGGGCGAAGGAAATAAGAGCTGACGAGGCTCGACGGTGGGTAGAAAGGGTATCACAGGGGTTCCAAATGCGCTCTCGTCGTAGAGAGGACCGAGAAATGGAGGCGAATCTGGGCGCAACCTGGTTTGTTGTCTTCTGGCATGCTCAATATCTCTGGGCCCAGTCGGATTTTTGTTGCCACGAGCGCGCAGGGTGGCTGGACCCTTCACTTTGCGATGAGCATCAGCCTTGGATTGCTTCATGATGCTTAGAGGTTAGGGGGCCATAGACGGGCCAATTGAACCGTTGTGCTTTGTCCAAGGAAGGGCCGTAGGCAAAGTCGACCGATTGAAAGGTCCATTTCCGTGGTAATTGTCTTCCTCGTTTATGGTGAACAATGGCTTTGCCTCAGCGTTTGGGTAGACAGGTTGGCTTGTATGAATGCTTGGCTTGTTCTTCGCCGGCACTCGTAGGGGCAGAGGCTCTTTGCATGCAATGAAGTATTCCCTCGTACGGTGGTCTCTAGCAAGTACCTCCTGAAAGTCTCCAAGTTTATGGTCAAACAAGAACTCTTCAATTTCTCCAATCACTTCCGTGATGAGCTCAGGCCTCTGATGCTCTTGATGCGCTTCAGCGCAGATGGATGAGACGCCGGAGAACCCGGCATGGGTGCAATAGAGCTCCCCGGGAGGATGAGATGGAATGTGGTGGCGAATGTTATCGACATCCCTGACAGCTATGATGTGCGAGTCGTCGTCGTAATCTCCATAGCAATCTTCCCAGGTCTGCTGTGCGACGCCAAAGTCGTATTCTGGTTGGGAATCGATAGAAAGCTGGAAGAGTCGTGTGGGCTTGAGCAAGGCGTCTGCGGTCCTTTCGCTGCTTCTGTAGCCGAGAATGGGACGAGAGGGACGAGGCGGAAGTTCATCAAGAGGACCCAAGGGATTCTCAGAGGCCCATGCTGCTTGAGATTCATGAGTACCAAACCTTGTCACACTAGAAGAGAAAAGAAAGCATACCTGGGCTTGGAGAGCTCCGTCGCGAACCCTCAATGCTCGAGGTATCCGAGAGACCAGTCTCAGAGAGCTCAGACAATCTCTAATTGCCTTCAGCGTCTAGAAACTGACTGAAAGAGGTGTATTCCGGGAACACATTGCTAGCATCCACCAGATGCTGAGTTACGGGCATGTTCACATCTGAACCTGCGACAGAATGAGTGTCCACGCTATTGACATCCATCACCTTGGCCATCCGCAAGAAATTTGCCATTGTGAAGCCGGCATAAATCGAAGGTCGACGCAAAGACCCGATTGTAGTTACTTGACGTGTAGAGGTAATGGGTCGAGACGCGTTGGAGAAGAGATGACCCCTGTTGACCACAAGCTGGCCGTCGTACCATTGACAGGAGCTCGAGCCGTCGCGCACCTTTTGCGTTGGGTGAGGGTTTTTGAACAACAACGCAAGGCCTTGCTGAACAACACCGCTAAATGGCATCTTCAATGACTTGGTTCACTGAAATCCATCAAAGTCAGTCAGGGGGAAAGAAAGTGGGATCCTCACTCTGCTTGGGCTCTGGCGAATGCGAACGCAACCTGTTGGGCAGACATCGAGTTGCGAGAGGGTGCTTACCTGACTGTATCTGACCAGTATGTGGTTCATGACCGTTGATGAGTTGATGATATCGTCCCGCTTGGCTCTGCGGAGAGAAGGAATCGGCGCGATAGAATGGACTGCGGCACGGGAGTGGCCAAGAGAATGCAAGAAATGTCAATCGAGGATGGAAGTAGAGTTGTTTAGTCACGAGTGTGGTCAACTCAGGCTGATCCCCTTCTCAAGGCGGGAAAAGGGTGCGGAGAGCAAAAGGGTCTGCGGAAAGTTGCGCAAAGTCGCAGAATGTCGCGGAAAATTTTGCAGTGGTAAGAAAGAAGAAAGGAGGCCAATACGGCGAGGAATGAGAAGAAGTTTAGGTAGTCGGAGGGTCGTCCGAAGAGCGGTAGGGTCGTTCGATCGTCTAATCGCCAAGTCGTCTCATTTTCACGAGGTATCTCGAGGCATCAGGCACTAGATCAGTCATGAGGACCCACTGCGAAGCTTCACCTGGCTGTCCAGACTACCCAAAGCGGACTCATCTTAGACTTCACCTTTCCGAAAGGGGAAATCATCACTCGTCGTTACTTTCGTATGGCCTTAGGATTTCGGTATACCACTCCCGTGGTGGATTCAACACTCGGTAACAGCTGGAGCTCACACCTAAAGCCTGCTTCATAAGCGGAAGTTTCAACCATACAGCCCGGTATCTACACCGAATTATTGGAGAAAGGCCTGGGTATCTTCTGACAAGGACGTCAAGCTTAACAGCACTGAGCACACATAACTCGAAGGCTTGGTAAATGTGGTATTGCTCATTACAAAAGCTGAAGCACCTAGACAGACATTGAAGGACAAGACTAATATTGAACACATCATATTTCGGCCAATTTACGCAGCACACAACTTGGAGGCAGCGGCTTGTATGGCGACTCGGTTTTGACGCTTGCTCTCTTGCCCATCGTCCTTTTCTTTATGCCTCAACAGCCTGCGCAGGTATAGAATCTTCGTTCAAGCCGTAACTCATAGAATACATTTCATTATACACAGATCTTGATAGTCTCATCGTCTCTTCACAGACTGAAATGTGTCTGAATATTGCTGTGTAATGTCCGCGGGCTCAGAGGCACATCAGTGACAGTCGGGCTGGGTATTGAGCATGTGGGACTAATTACCCTATTGTTGGACACGTCAAGTACATACATACATAGTTTATTACGCCCCGGCTAAGCTGTTTAGGGCTCGCATGATTATCTACATATTCTCCACATTCGTTCATATCCTTGCCTCCCAGAAGCCCATACAAGTCTTGTTCGTCTCCGTATGTGTCTTTTTTAGTTTTGCATGTCGATGCTGCGGTTGCTCGTGGGGTTAGTAGCAGGCCATCTCGGAGTTGTTTCTCAAAGTGTTCGACGTCCTATCGTCGGCGGCCGAAGCTAGTCCTGCTGTCGATGGCACGAGGATGCGTGGGGGTGTCTCCGGTTAATTTGATGATGTTAGTTGCGTGTGGTTTCGCTGCTGGCTGATCTGTGCATCTAGCCTCTCCGTGCTCATGGCGAACTTGATCGTCTCTTTGACAACGTCTACGCTTGGCGACCAATCCTTAGGGTCGGACGCGCGCTTTCCTCCCAGGAAGTATGACAGATTTCCTCTCCGCGTTTCCGTCTGTTGGAGCATCCGAGTCCGCTGTGCCGTCCACTGTGTGCATCGAAAGAGAAAATGCTCTACCGTTTCTGCAGATTGCCCGCAAGCGCATAGCGCCGCGGCGGTTGCGCCGATCTGGTAGAGGTACCAGTTCAGCCTTGCCATTCCGGTGCGTAGTTGCGCTAGAATGCTGGCTTCTTTCCAGGCCAGTCCGTCATACAGCTTGCGTGTGTGGTTTCCCGGCAGGGCTATGTCGATCTTCTTCGAATATGCTCCTACGTTGTCGGGCAAGGCTCCGTGCTTCTGTCGCACGCTCTGTAAAGCGATCCTAAGTGCCGTCGAGTAGGCTCTGGCCGGCCGTTTTTGTGGTGTCTTGTTTACTTGGGTACTTTCCTTTGCTGCTGCTTTGGCCGCTTGCGCCAGGTCTGACTCTATCGATGATGGAAGCCAGAAGAGAGTGACTCTGTTGCCTCGTCTCTGCAGAGCTTGCACGCTGGCATATAGTTGTCGGATCTCTTGTTGGCCTGACTGCTGCCGCGGGTTGTGCATCACCAACACTGCCGCTTTGTTGCGGGTGAAGACGTGGATGGCCCGGTACTCGAGTCTCTCTGGGAGAGACTTGACCGCTTCTGCCAGTGCCGCTAGCTCTGCTACATACGGGTTCTGCTCCGTTCTCTGACCGAACGTACGCGAGGCCGTCACGACGCCACCGCCCCCTCTGAAAGATGCGGGCAGCGTCGTCGCCGTTCCAAAGCCCACAACCTCGTTCCTTGCTGAGCTCCCTGTCGCTATCCTCACTGCCCATCCAGACCGGATTGCCTCAGAGGCCTTGACCGTGTCGTCGTCGACTACTGTATCAATACGACGTTCCCAAGGAGCGATCGAATACCCTTCGATAGTCTCCAGCTTGTCAAGGGGTAGGTCGCGATAGGCCTCCGCCATCAACTGGAAGGGTGACGGAAACCGTCTAAAGGCCACCGCCCGCAGACGTCGAAGCGGATGGGTCTTGGGAAGGCTTCGCAGCCGTACCCAGAATGTCGTTGATTTTCTGTCGTACCTCTCTTGCGCCGATTGTATGCTTGCCTCCGCTTCAGCGACCGCCGTGGCCACCGTGTTGAAGGTTCCCACGATCGCTTGGGCGCCAATCCTCTGCACTCGGTTGATCACCCTCATCTGCGCTGCTCGACACCTGTACCTCCAGACGTTCGACGCGTAGTCCATCGTCGGTGCTACGGCCGCCACGAAAAGCTGTCTGGCCGTCGCCGGAGACAGGCCTTTGAGCCGTTTGAGCCCCAGCACGGCCTCCAGCCCTTTTGTCGTCGCGTCTGCGATGTGCTTTTCGAAACGGAGTTTCGTGTCCATCATCACTCCCAATACTTTGACGTGGTCCTTTGCTCGGACAGTGTCACCTTTGATGACGAAGCTGGTTGAGTCCGCCGGCAGCCTCCAGTTGCGCGTGAAGTGGATGATGGCCGTCTTGTCCGTCTCGAACGTCGCCCCGCTTCGTCGTTCCCACGCGAGTGCTCGATCGATAATATCTTGGATGCCCTGACGGTTTGCTTCGCGCGATCGGCCTGTGACCCACGCCGTGTAGTCATCGACGAAGGCCAGCGCGCCCCCGTTCTCGTCGATTTGGTGCTGTACGAGATCGGCGTTGAAGAAGAGGAAGAGCACGGGCGAAAGCGGCGAACCCTGAGGCAGTCCGGCTTGTGGTAGCGGACGAGCCTCGGACTCGTGACCGTTAACCAGGATGCTTGCCGTTCTATGGGAGCAGAAGGCGTCCACCCATCTCACCAGCTTGTCCGGGATCCCCCGCGCTCTGAGTCTTTGAAGTAGTCTCTCTTTGTACACACCATTGTATGCTCCCTTGACATCGAAGCTGACCAGACTGACCACCTTTCTCTTTCTCCACGCTCTGTAGATGTACTCCTGCAGCAGTACCAGCGCCTGCTCTGCCGACCTCTGCTTGCGAGCGCCAAAGTGGCTCGTGGGAAGGAGGCCGAACGTCTCGACAGCGTGCGAGATACGTTCTGCCAGGACCGACTCCAGCACTTTTCCGAGCGTCGAGAGAAGCGAGATCGGTCGCCAGGCCTTCGCTATACCGTAGTCGCTTTTGTTTGGCTTCTTCAGCGGGATGATCTTTGCGTGTCGCCACTGCCTCGGCAACACCCCTTCATCCAGTGAGGTCTGGAAGAGTGTAAGCACCCTCTCCTTCACCACTGGCCACGTGTGCTTCCACACTGCCACCGGCAGACCGTCCTCTCCGGGTGCTTTCCACGACTTTGCCGCAAAGAGCTGTCTCTCTACTTTCCCAGTGTGAGGTTAGGGAAGGG